CCCTCCCTCCCTCCCCCCCTCTCTTTCTTTCTTTCCCTTTGTTTCACTGAGCCATTTAAGAGTTAGTTGAAGACTTTATGACACTTTACCCCTAAATATCTCAGCATGTGTATCATAAGAACAAGGCTATTGTACATAACCCTGATGTAGAAAATTTAACATCGATACAATACTATTATATACTGTACAGTCTAAATTCATATTTCCTCAATTCTTCTTTATAACTCCCCCTCACCCATACTTCGCCCCAAAACAATATTCAGTCAAAGACCATACCTTCATTGCCTTTGGCTGTCTGGTCTTCTTCAGTTTCCTTTAATCTCTGACTGTTCCCTCATTTTTTTGTCTTTACTAACATAAACATTTTTAAAAGGTTCAGGCCATTTTTGCAAGAAGTCCTTCAATATGGATTTGTCAGAGTTTTTCCAACAGACTTTGACTTAGGCTAAATATTTTTGGCAAGACATGAGTAATATCATGTGGCCAAATGATGCCAATTTTCTTTATCATTGGTAATAAGTTTGATTGTTTGGCCAAGGTGGTGTCTCCGAATTTCTTCATTGTAAAGGTACCTTTTCACCTTTATAACTAATGTCTAATCTGTGACTACTCTGAATATCTTGTTTCCCAGTGATTTTTCACCTAATAAGTTTTGCATTCCTTGATAAGTCATTGCCTGAATCAATCATTTCTATGGTGGTTATGAAAGAGTGATTTTCTGGTTCCAACGTTTCTCTATATTTATTAGTTGGCATTCTTCCGTAAGGAAGAGACTTCACTGTCTTTTTCTTTTCTGTTTTTTTTTTTTAACAGTTTTAGTAAGGACTCGTTTTTATTCATTTTTATTATATGTTATAATCTGCTCCTGTCATTATGCATTTTGACGCTCAGCTTGCTCCAGCTTTGGCCAGTGGGAATCCCTTTCGGCTGGCTCTGGTGTCCTTTTGCCATGTCCTTATTAGTTTTTGAGCACGTGGCCCAGTAAGATGCTCTGGACACCCTTAGCATCTTCCCTGTTCCAGTCTGGAACCAGCAATTTCTCCAAGGAGCCAACCTAGCTTGCTTTTAAATGCTTTTAAAATATATAAGGTGTGGTTCAGACTTTGAAAGGGAAGATTTTTAAAAAGTTCCATTAGCACCAAACGGAATGAAATTAACTGTTTAAATCACAACATCTTAACGAGGGAATAATGCAGCAAAGAGCTCCGATGATGCTCGTAGAGATAGGTTTTGATTGGCTTGCCTGCAAAGCTTTTCTTGTGCAGAGGTGCTCAATTTCCCTTGATTGGGCTTAATTCGGCTGAATTCTTCTTAGAGTCAGACTGGCGAAGCACGTGACCTTGACTGTGGCAGGTGCAGTCCTGATAGCCACACAGAGGGGAGCACCGTGGGCATGTTGTAGGGAGTCCGACTTTATCGGACTCATTTGGAAAAGGGGAATTTGTTTCTGAATTATTCATCAAGATCCAGAGCAGCCTGTGGCTGGCTGCGTGTTGTGTGTTTTATGTAAGTTTTAGTAGCTGAAGACCTCGTTGAGGCCTTGGCTGGCAGAGCTGGTGACTAGGGACCATGAAGGAACTCACCGGACTCATGGGAGCCCAGACTGAATGAAGCTGTGCCTGTGCCAGCTTCTTCGGGATCCGATAAATATCTGTCCTGCCACCCATTTTCAAAAAGTGCAAAGAATTAGAGTTTGTTTCTGGAACGATCCCTTAAAGTCATCGAAAGAATGACAATGGCAGCTTAGGAAGCCTAATTGGTTGAGGCCAAAAAGCTGTAGGAAGCGTTTATTGATTCTTTAAAGACAAGCATATTGTAAAGGCTAATGCTGATATACATATATATTTTAAATCGATTTTCCCGATCCCAGAAGTAATATAAGCTTCAAGCATTCCAGACGTACATGCAACCGAAGGCCCCTCAGGCCTGTCTGGAGATCAATGCCGTCGACCCTCTGTCTACCCACCTGGTCGGTTTTCTCTGACTTTCTGGAGTGCGTGGGCTATGATGCGTCAGAACGGAGCGATCCGTGCAGGACACGTGATCGCCTTATAGAACGTGGTGACTCCTGGTCCCAGTCTTAGTTTCGTGAGAGGTGATTTCAAGAGCATGCAAAAGGGGCGGGAGTGACGGATCTGGTTCGTAGCTCTGGCACTAGCTGTGCGACTTGGACACGTCGTCACTGACTTTTGGGATCAGTTTTCTTGCCTGTAAACCGAGAGGGAGAAGAACAGGGCGGAAGTCCTCTCCCTTGGCCGCCCGTCAGTCTCCAGGGGACTTTGACACATAAGGCCTAGGGGTTCTCATTTAATCTGTCTGTGTGGAGCCTTGGAATAGGCATTTTAAAAAGAGCTCCCAGATTACTCTTCCGGCCAGTCAGGATCAGGGCCTTCGAACTGGAAAATCCCAAAGGCCCCACTTTCCGACCCAGCCTCACGAGGTACTACTTACTTGGACCCCAGACAGCCTGGACTCAGCGGCAGCTCGCCTACTTACCCACTGTGTGACTTTGGGCAAGTTGCTTAACCTCTCTATGCCTCAGTCAGCTCATCTGTACAGCTGGGG